GGATAGGTCCTCGGTGCGAGGCTGCTAGCGAGCTATATCCACCCTGAAGGTTAATCTTGGACAATATCTGAYGAYYGACTCTTTTAAATGAAACCAGAGAGCGTTGACAGAGAGGAGAAGGTAGAAATGACTCAGYCTGBAACTGAAAATATGGATGGAGGACAACAGAGCTGCTTCATGGAAGAAGAACCTCAGCTTAGCCTGTTAGCCTTTGCGCTAGCACCCATGCTATATTGCCTTATATGGATTAGCTTGGCGCATCCTACTGGAGGTGCACAGGGTTCAAAAGTAGCCTGCAGCCCAGTTGTACTGGGAAGTGGGAATTTCCTACTTACAAGTCATAAATTTAAACTGGAATGTGGGAAATCCCTGTTGGAAAATGGGAGAGTTCAGAATTCAAGTTGGCAGCTACTCAACACAGCTCATCAGTGAGTAAAATGCTTACAATTTTTTTTACTTTTAATAATATTTATGTATTATTTATTTCACAATTAGTCAATCGTACATGTAGTACTTTTCAGTGTTTATAAGGGGACATGATAAAACAATGTTTCTGTGAACAAATTACCATGTAGAGCTTAGTTACTGTTTATTAGCCGTGTTCAGCCGTAGCAATTTAATGAGGAATGTGATGTTTTGTTTTCAGTCAACGTAGGGCTGCTCAGTTTATGGTAGATAGTATAAACGATATGAAGTTGGCCTCCGGTAGAAATTGACCCTCCACTGTCCTGTCGTCAGTCGTCACATCTGTGTCAACAGGGCTGCGAGGGCAGAGACAACTGAGCAGGAGGAGTTCAAAATATAATGGATTGACATTTTAAAACGCGTATAGAAAGAAGAAATCCTCAAAATTTCCCCCTCCCGCTGTAGAAAAGTTACGTTGTGCCGTTGTGTCGCAGGATCATTTCCTCCCTCCCGCTGCACATCGTGCAGAGCGAAGCTTTAACAACCGTAGTTTTTTCACAGCCAAGTTGTCAGAGAAAAAAACTTGTTTTTTTTTTGTTTGTTTGTTTTGTTTTGTTTTGTTTATTTTTTTTTTTTGTATTGTTACCCACAGAGATGACAAAAAAAAGGTGTGGATGTTCGTTCATTCATAAATCCATTTTGCCAATGTGACAGTTGGCTTCTGCTGAGAGCGCAGCAGAACAGCAGCCGATAAGTTCAGCAGGCAGAAGCTCATTGTATGGCAGGCAAATATTATATTTATTTGGCTTCACCACACTTATATTACAGTTATCTGAAATTGTTTTATGGTAGGACTATGTGCAAGCTTACGCCCCTTAAGGTCCTGTCACACTAACATTTTAGGCAACTTATGCCAATTTAGAATATTTTTAATGTCTAAATTACAAATTTTACTTGAAGTACTGGTTATAACATCCACCTGATTCGGATATTGTTGAAAATTTGAGAAGTGYTTTTGTTTGTTGTTGAAACTGTTCTTCAATATAAATGAAACATTATTTTGTACTTCTGTTATGTTCATTTGCACTACAGCAAAACTACTGGGTTTGATTATGATTACAGTTTTCTACAAAATAAATGCTCTAAAAATTACATTATCATTGCTTTTTATGATAATTTTCTACCGTGATTCTGTTGTTAAGAAGGGATTCAATTTATAGCATGACATGAATTTGAGGTCATACCGCCCAGCCCTAAGTCAACGTTAAACATGAAATATCAAATTTAATTACAACTGGTCCTTTGAGGGCCACCATAACGCTCGWGTAACCCTCAGTGAAAATGAGTTTGACACCCCTGCTCTAAAACCTGCAACGTGAGGTAAACAGTACCCATAGAAAAAGCAAAAAACAGTTAAATCTTACCTCGTTCCCTCCTGTGGGTTTTTCTCTGAAATAAAAAAAAATAAAAAAAAAAACGAATGATCAAGGTTAATATTATGAGCCATCAGCTTCTAACTTTATTATTCTCTGAGCATTGACTGCATAACCACTGGGCTCGCTCGCTACATATCCAGCACAGCAATAAGAAAACTGTAAATGTCCCTGCTGTTGATTTGCTCTGAGCTCGGCACTATTATTGTGGCCTGCAGTCAGCTTGCAACTCAGCAGCAGCGAAAGCTTGAGCTGAGCATTAATGAGGTTTTGTAACATGGCTCCATCATTGCCGTTTGCCAAAAGCTTCTTGCGGCAAAAAAAAAAAAAACCACAACAATGACAGTTTTGCAGATGGCGCTCGCCTCAAGAGAGATATAAACTGTTCTTTTTACAAATAGTAAAATGGCCCTCGTCATTATTTTTCTAATCGGAGCTATCAAATTGACCAAAGTCTTGTGTCTGGACTGTCTTTATTAATTTGAAAGGCTACGTTGCTCCCCGCTGAACGTGGTGGTGGGGATTAGAGGTGTTTTGTGACTTGGAAGCGTGCCACATCCTGCGACATGTGAAACATCCCATGGAGTTCATCTTAATTGCTCAGGGACGTTCTTTCAAAGCTGGAAAATTGGAGCAAGGCCGGCGACGAACAGAGGTATCAGACATTTCAGGTGCTAAAAGGTCGCACCTGCTTTACCGTAATCCCCCAGCTTCAAAGCAGGTGCACGATTAGCAGTGCGGCAGAATGTGTCACGGGGATTACAATGACTTAAGATGTGTGAGTCAGGACCACATTTCTTTTATCACACAGGAATACTGTATGCCCCCTTCCTCTGTTAGAAGGAAAACTCTGCAGGAGATGGTCTTTAGTTCCTAATTAGGCCTTCATTATAGAGAATCAGGTTAACTAAACTGAAAAAACAAACAATAATTATTTTGTACTTTTATGGAGAATGCAGGTTTAATGATAGGAAGGGRTCAGATTAAGAAGGCCTTTATAAAAGAGAATATACCAAAGGTTTTATCTGCTAAAGAACAAAGCACACCATCCAACATAATATAATTCATATATAAATAAGGGGTATGCTTCTTCCTCTTTTTTTTACTTTATATTTCTCCTAAACGTTCAAACACATTTATAACTRTAGAAAACCAGACTGACTTAGTCAATCAAAAATGGCCTGATTCATTTACTTGCACTTTTATTATAAAACTCAAAAGCTGAATTAGTATAATTACATTGAACCCTTTACCATAACCCTGAAAATTCATCAAATGAGGAGGAGGCGGGATTTTTCTTTCATATAATTTTCTAAGAAATAACTTTAAATCAAAAATGAATTTAAGTTACAACAGCAAGCAGTGATGAAGTACGAAAGACAGGAAGAAAAGGCCATTTATCAAGCGGGACATGTCAAACTTCACTAGCAGCCCCAGCCATGCTCTTCATCAGCTGTGAATCATGAATATCTTCTCGAATTCTCACAGGGTCTAAACTTCGGTGTGACGTGTGAAAAATGCAATTTTGTTTTAAAATGGCCTGTAGGTTTTAGAATATAGTGTCAAGAGACTTTTTTGTGAGTACTGGACTGATGTATGTACAGCTGGATCTTTGCACCTCCCAATATTTATGCTATAAATAACTGCCAAGTTTCATAATGTTCAGCCCACTAGAATATGGTGAAAAAAAGCCTCTGGTTGGCAGAAAAAAGTGTCTTCTGCTGCTTCACAGCAATTGCATCATGGGAAAAAACATGACATGTCTTTATTTCAATTTTAAGAGCAAGACAGAACTTCATTTTAAAGGGGGTAAATCTATGTTTTTGACAACAATGCCAGAGACAGTTGCTGACAATCAGGTGCCTAATTGGTACCTATTTGTCAGCACCTGGTTGAAAAATGGGATCCCAGAACGGTGTGTGACACAGCAAGCAGCATGAGGAGGTGGTAGAGTTTAGATCGTGCTGAGCCTCTGAGCCCAGTCCAACCTGACTAATACGTGTTAACTGGAGGCCTGAGTCCAAAGTAAACCCGACATGTTATTTTCATTAAGCTTTTAGTGCTTTTGTTTTTTGCCACGATTTGAGTTTTTTTAGGTAAAACAGATTGGAGTGGTTGCTCATCTGGTCATATTGAGCAATCAAACATAGAACTGACATCCACGGCTTTGACCCCGGTATGAAAAAACCACCTGCTTTTGTTGTATGCCTGGCTTTGTATGATGCATTTTACAGCGAGAGGGCAGAGGAATAAATTATAATAATTTATACCCCTTGACACAATATTTCAGGTTAGATTGACACAACCTTAGATTGTATATTCTCCTTTAGTTTTCTCTGTGCTGTATGTATCGTAGTTCAATTAAAAACTCGCCACAGAAGCCCGATTCCACTCATCCGTCAAGAATGTCATTTTGGCCCAAATTTTTGCCTGAACTTTGGGTCGGGTTCAGGTTGAGCTTGGGCTATAAATCCAAACTCTAGGAGGCAGTGCCAAGCTGTAGTGGCTGTGTATGGTTCTTCCACATGCTACCAAGGTCTATGTTTGTCAAATTAATGGATTAATTGACAAAATTTCTTATTTCTTCAGACTTCAATCATCTAATCTGATAAAGAACATCAAATCAGACAACAGCAGAATAAGATGTTTGAATGAAATTATATTTAGACCATCTGTTTTTGTGGCATAATTAACAAATGTGAGTTAACAATGTCAAAAACTTGTGTTTAACAGAATAACCTTCAAAGGATCTTTGGGGTACTTTTAAAAGTTGCTGAAATTATCAATGAAAATTTGTGTTAACATATAAGTTTTCTAATCTTTTATGTAATAGACTTGATGTAACTTATCATTTCTACTAAAATATTTATGTGAAATATTTTACAATATAATCATTTTTTTCTATTTACTTTGAAACTCAGACTTCCACCCCCTGCAGTCGTGCACAAGAATTCCTCAAACCCGTTTTTGGCTGCTGCTTCCTGACGAGCAGTGTGTTCTGCTGACAACTAATGTTCTGCTTTTGTCAGAAGAGATACAGCGTGCCCTTGTTGAAGGCTACCACAGGGCGGTGTCGAGCCGCAGCGTGCAGCCTCGTTATACTTTAATCACGGTTTCTGCCCTGAGAAATTCACGGTCGAGCTGGAACTTGTTCACACAGAGCAATTTAAGAAAGGGAAAAGTGCCTACTTAGWTTTCTCCTTCGCCTGTAGCAGAGGACGGCGGAGCAGGAGACGAGCACGAGCAGCAGAAGGGCAGAGAATGCGGCGGTCAGTCCCAACAGGACCGTGCAGTCTTCACCTTTTTCATGCAACACCTCTGCAACTGTAAGAGAAAATGTCATCAGTTTCTCAGGACAGACGTGTTGAAGTTGTGCCAGTACGCTAAAATTCAATTACAAATCGGGAAACCGAAAGGAGAAAGTGAAAAAGGATCTTTAGACTTAAGGCTTGAGGATTTTCTTTTACTGGACAATATGATAATGTTGTGTGTTTTAGGTTTGTCATTTATGCAGATATTTTCACTCTACAAACTGAAAAGGATTGTTTTTATTCAGTTACAATCTTTCCTAGAAAATAATGACTTGTTTGAAAAATTTCAGTCGGGGTTCAGACCCCATCATAACACTGAATCTGCACTACTTAAAGTGTCGAATGATATTCTTTTGTCTCTTGATGCCAAAAAAAACCCGTTCTGCTGGTGATGCTGGACCTTTCAGCAGCTTTTGATGCTGTGTGTTTTTTGTCGTGATAGGTGACCTGTCCTCTCAAGCCCTCTGTGGCCTCCGGTGTACCGCAGGGATCCATTCTGGGCCCAGTTCTCTTTTCACTTTACTTGTTGCCATTAGGAACTGTTATTGCATGCCATAATTTGTCTTTTCATCTACGTATATGCAGATGATTTGCAAATCTATCTGCCAGTCACTCCTAATTCATCTCTTAGTCTAAAATCCACTGTCAGCTGTTTAACTGATATCAAACATTGGCTATCTCAAAATTTCCTCTACTCAAACAATGATAAAACTGAAAGGATTCTGTTTGATGCATCCAGTAAATCCTCTAACATCTCTGAGTCTACGTCTTTCACTCCCTCACTTCAACCAGGCGGTAAAAAATCTAGGCGTGAAGCTTGACTGCAACTTGAAGCTTGATAAACAGATTGATTCCATTGTGAAAACAAGCTTCTTTCAGCGCCGTCTGCTTTCTAAGGTGAAAACACTGCTTAGCCGTAGTGATCTGTAAAAAGGCCATCCATGCCTTTGTGAGCTCTAGGCTTGATTATTGCAATGCTATGTACGTCGGAATTAATCAGTCTTCCTTCTCTCACTTACAGCTTGTACAAAACTCTGCTGCTCGCTTTTTAACTGATAGGCTACATGTAAATACGAACACATCACTCCTGTCCTTTCTACTTTGCACTGCCTCCCGGTTCAGTTTAGAATACAATTCAAGCTGTTATTTGTTTTTAAAGCCTTAAATGGCCTTGCACCACCCTACATTTCGGATCTCTTGAAAATCCACCAACTTAGCAGAGCTTTGCGGTTTGCCAGTCAACATCTGCTCGTGGTGCCTCGCTCTAAGAGCAAGGGGAACCAGTCCTTTTCTGTTGCTGGCCCAATTGCGTGGAATAATCTTCCCTATGAGTTGTGTGCCATCTCTGACCAGGGGTCGGATTTATAAAACTGGCGTACGCACAAAAGGAGCCCAGAAACTTGAGTACGCCACTTTTCATGCCAAGGTTGTGATTTATAAAATCCAAACCTGACGTGAAAATGTGCGGTGCCTCACGCCAGCTCTGACCCATGCATACACTCATTTTGGAGACGGGAAACTGCGACACAGATGGTGAAGTGAAGAATTAGAGCCACACTGTGTAATAATCACTGTCAGATATTTAATTTAACTTGATAATCAAACTTGGATTTTTATTCAGCTTTATCATCAGCTTTAATATTTATGCTTCTGCTGCTGAGCCATGAGGACCTTTGAAATAACAAACTTAAATCTTAAACAAAAGTTCATGCATCCATTCATCTGCTTCCTCCTCAGACGACCCTGACCCACAGACCCCTCCTCGACAAGAGACAYTTCAACAGCACAACAGCAAAAGTCACGCTTTAGGTGCTCGCAGGGCGCACCCCTCGCCAGTGTGGAAGTTATAAAACTTCACTTTTTAAAGTCCATATTTCTCATGCGCGTGGGGTGGGGGTGGGGGTGAGAAGACAGTTAGCCGCAGATAACAGCAGGCAGGAGGGGGAGGACGGGGGAGAAGAGCAGTGAACTTAACTTTATCTGACTTAGCCTATTTAATTTTATTTATTGTTTTTATCGTCCTGCAGGCTCTGAGAGAAAATTAATTTGAAGCTGAGTTGTTGATAAAAATCATTAGATTACATTACATTACATTAGATTTCAGGTTATTGTGTAAATGCCTGCCTGTGGGTGTCACTTGGATACACCTGTCTCCAAGTGACACCCACAGGCAGGCATTTACACAATAACCTGAAAATAGTGCTGTGTTTTCCAAAAGGGATAGAGATTTTGAAGAGACATTAATTAGAATTGAACTACAGCCAAGTGTTTAAAAGCTACATGCGTCAAAATTGCCATGTGGTATATTGCTCTTTTTTCTTGAATTTAATTAACTTTAAGTTTCATTCAAAGCAGCTTAACAGAGAGCAAAGTGATTTCAAAAGAAGCTGACTGTCTTGAGGATCAAACCTACAACCTTCTAGATGAAGCAGGGCTTCATGATTAAAAAAATAATTTTGCTTCAGTCTCACCCACTGTTAGACTGACACTGGTCCTCAGAGGTGTGGAAAGGGCCGGAACAGAGGCCAGACAGTCCACTCGAGAGCTCCTCTCAGCCGTAACGGTGAGGTCACTGGACACAGTGAAGAGGTTCCTCTCCATCTCTGTGCTGCTGATGTTGTATTCATCCAGGCTCACCTCCACCCCACCCAGAGAGAGACAGATCACAACCAAATACACTTTTACAAAGTTTCAAGGCTTTAAGAAAAATCCTGCAGAATCAGATCTGTCAGCTTTAAATGTAAGAAGCTTTCYGTTTTGCAACATACAGCATGCTGTATTCAGTTTCATATTATCACTTTCACTCAAAACTCCATGTTGATTGAATACAGTTTTTAATCTGTGCAACTTTTTTGAAGATGAGGAAATTGTGTTGTAATTTAATATATGTGGGTTTGGTTGACATAATCTTGTAGAGCTGAATGAAAAAGCTTATAAAGTCTGAGTCTGATTCAGTTTGACTGGGTGGGACGAAATGATTTTGATTCATAAATGTTTTAATGTTATTGCCATATTCATTCATGTTTGCAGTGAGTTAGTCAAAGCAATCTTKCTGTGTTACTTGTGTCAGTTTTTACTGAAAGTGTTTCTGACTGAGGCAATAAGACTCATATGATTACATTTCAAAGAAAGATTCATTCTTGTATAAGTAATTTAAAGTTAATTAGGTAAATTAAGAACCAACAATTTAAATTAAAAAAACAAGGTAGACTTCGCCCATTATGTTACTTTGAAATAATTTGATCTCACAAAGATCTCAAACAATTTGTTAGTTCTAATAGTAAGCATTTGTGAWAACTCTCAACTACTACCACACAAAATATTAGCTCAGTATCTGTAAAGTGAATTGAGTTACACCTGTTTTTGTGTTTGCTGAGTCTGATTAGCTGTGGCGGCCATCTTCAGTCAGTTTGGTTCCAAATTTTAAACAATTGTAGATGTACATCCAAAGATTAATTTCTCAGAATTTCATAAAAATCTGTCCTATATTTAATGAGATATTTTGCTAACAGGCACACCCACTTTTGTCTCTTTTGCAACATCCATCTAAATTTGAATATTTGCCTAGGTCTGCATTAAAGAAGTGGTGATAAAATTTATTCTTGAAGTAAATAATAAATGTGTATTTAATCTTAGCCTAACCGTGAGTATGACATTTTCCTAGCTCCACCTAAACGTCATCATTAGATTATTGAACATTTTTATGAGATTGGGATTTGGCTTGTCAGCTTAGCAGGCTAAGAGCCACCAAACCGCCCTGACCTGCTTACACTACTGCTTTTTTTTTCTGCAAATCCCAGGGAAATGTGTTTTACATTAAACTATTCAATCAACACACTCTCCATAAACAATAATCTCTTAGATAAAGCTTTTCTTTTTATATGAACAATAATCTAAAAATAAACTGAAAAAAATCAAAAGACATCACAATGACTTTGAATAGGTGATATTTCTGTCAAAGTTTATTTTGTGGGCAACTCCTTTTTTCCCATTTCCATTTCAGTAATCAGTGGACAGTACACTCTAGAAAAAAGGGTTTAAGTGGGATGAATTTCCTGTTTAATTAAAAATATTTATTTGCACTTTAAACTAGAATGAATGATCAATCAAATCACCTTTTTCTAATTCACTCTGAGAGCATCGCCGTTATCATGGTGACACATTACTATTTCCTAACTGGGTCAGGAGGAATCCTTTACAGCAGAGAAACAGGAAGTAAAAAAATTAAAAAAACTTTCTCGTTCTGTGTTTACCTTTTTGTTGTACACCTCCCATTGCAGACGAGGTATAGGGAACCATCCTGCTGCTTGACACTGAAACAGAACGGAGTCACCCTTAAAGGCCAATCTGCTGTCGCCAAAGATTTTCACCGTTCCTTTTTCTGCATTTGGGGAGGGAAAAAGGTGATATTATGAATACTGATGAAACTGTACATTGTGTTTGACCTGTATGACCCCTCCAGCAAGTGTTCATTGTTGTTCATTCAGGCTGAGCCCAACAGAGCCCCGTGGRTAGAGGCCTGGTCCCTAAAAGGGGCAAAATCAGTTCACATTATGGACCTGGGTTAATCTGAGTCACTTATTTAAATGATCCAGTTCAGTTTAGTCACTTGAGTAAGTCGTACTGCRAACACACCATGCTTCCAAAAATACACAAAAAAATAAATGAAAAAGAAAACCATTCACACTTGCATTATTCAGAGTTTATTTTACAATACCAAACACCAATATACAAACAACTTTGCAATAATGGAACAAAACAAATTGGAACAGAAACGTAAACTGTAAAAATCATCATGAACTTGTAAGAAAAATACGTGTTCAATTCGACTGAAGTCRAGATGAAAACACCATTGTTAAATAAAATGATTTGTGGTTGGAATAAAATCATGCAACACCAGAATTCTGGAACCGAGTGAGGTTTAGTTGTCACCGGGYTGACAAAGAAAACCACACTGGCCAAAACCCAGGAAGTGCATCGATTTATACATGATTCTTCAATACCTGAGTTCGCCCCCTACTGACCTACGGCTGAATCACAGGCATTCATCCAAAAATCTCAACCTAATGTTATAATAACGGTTCACTTATGTGTTGTTTATAATTCAGACATGTAACTACTCTATATCAATTAACACATAATAGATCAAACATTATAAAAAAGGAAACCCTATAATCTAGTGTTGTGCTTCTAACATCAGTACTAGCCTGTAATAACTATAAATTTCTTCAAACTTAACCAAAATGTTATCTTATGTTAAATCTTTTCATCCGCTATCTTAACCTGCTTTCTTTTCAGGGTCACAGGGGTCACTGGTGCCCATATCCAGCAGTCACAGAGGGGCGGAGTACATCCTGGACAGGTCATAAATCACAGAGACACATGGAGACAAGCAAGACAAAMAACCATTCACTCTCACTCACACCTAGAGACTGTTTGGTTAACCTGCTTTTGGTCCGTGGGAGGAAACYGAAGTGCCATGAGAAAACCCACGCATGACTCATAGGCTTTTATTTTGAAATATCCGGTTGCCAAAACAGGATGTGTCACCATAAGTTGGGGAAACTGTTGGTGAAAWTGCGTGGCTGCATAAAGTTTTGAAAATTATTTTTCTTTTTCTCTGTACGTGATTATTTTAGATGCTGCTCTTGCTTCAGTCACTCTAACTATTTTACCTCTCCATCTGGCAATGCTCAGTTTGTTCATAAAATGCATTAAAATGCTGAAATCCCCSTATATTGAAGTTTCACAAATCAAGTATATGTTTCACAAGCCAGGTTTGAAGTGTCWGTATGTTTTAGTTTTTAAACTAAGCATATGAAAGAGGTTTGAGGTAATGAAAATGTGGAGGAATTGCCCTTTGGGCATTTGTGAAAACTCCAGAGTTTTTTCTGATAAATTTACGAGATTTTTTCTTGTAAATTTCTGACTTTACAATGTCAGAAAATATTTAGTTTAAAGAACAAAATTTTGCCTTTAATTGTGGAAATTTCAG